TGGAAGTGAGAGGGACGATGGAGGCTAGTTTGGGACGAGTTAAGTTGTTTAAATAGGGTGCAAACCCTAAGTATTAGGGTTTTGTCCAGACAGCTCCTACTCGTCGAGTCGGTCTCCCGACTCGTCGAGTAGGCCACTTAAACCCTCGATCAAAATTCGAATCTACTCGACGAGTTGGGCCTCCAACTCGCCGAGTCCCAGAGTAAATTGGAACATTACATGAGTTTAAATACGTACCAGAAACCAGGTGTTACACCAATAACAAGTAGACACAAATTGAATATTTATAAAAATTTATTGTTGAAATATCTACAACTCTAGCAATTAATTGGAAATTAATATTTTATGAAAAATAATATTTTCAATATAAGTATCATAGATTATATCAAGAGGTATGATAACTAAAGTCATGTAGATCTTTTTAGACTAAAAGAGTTTTGGTTTTAAATTAATGTACATAACATATGAAATATATAAAAGTGTAAGAGTTTTATATATCTCCTATTTTCTTTTATCAAAAACCAAGAATTAGCAAGGGGAAAAAATCAAGCTAGTTGATTATCACAATTAAGAGGCCATGCTTTTAGAAGCATGTCTTCTTTTTATCATGAAGCATGAGAGTGTAAGAGGTAAGGTATGTCTTAAAGTGTTAAGACACATTAGATAAATATTTAAGCATCAAGACTTTCTTCCTTCTCGTCCTCTTTCTTGCTATAACCGTGAACATGTTTCCCTTCTCCATTTTCTTTCTTAAATGGTTAAGACACTAAAGGAAGAATTAGATACTTTTGCTATCCTTTAAGACAACAAAAGATTGGATTTTGTTCTTAAAGGATTAAGAGCTTAATATTGCAAGAAGGAATAACATCCAAGTGTTGTATCTTGTTGGTATACTTCTTTAAAGGAATTCTACTTTGGGTTCTTGCCATCTCCATCAACTTCCAACCTCCTAAGAAGATTCAAAGTCTTCAAAGGTTGTTGTTTTTTAATCCTTCTATGGTTGTATTTAATCTTTCATGTTCATGCAAAATGATCCTTGTTGAGAATAAACTTGTTTATGTTATTCAAATTTATAATGCTTCCGTTGTTAATTTGCCTTTTTATGTTCATGCAGTGTTGCAAGCAGTCCAACTCGGTTTTTTATTTTATTTCTCTAGCTTTGGACAAAGTGCACGTTTTACCCTTCTTAGTATTGAAATCCAATTATGATGTCTAAATGTGAACATAATTAGACATTTGTACCTTTCCAATTGCTAGAAATATTCCCCAATGTCACAACAGTTGGTAATATTACTATTAATTACATAGTTTTTTTGGATAACACACAAGGACAGTATTAATCAATATTGACTTGAGAAGAATTTAGGGGTCTAGTTTGTTAATTTATTTAAGTGTTTACTTTATTAAATGAAACTTGTAGACTTAAAGGTGTTTATGTGTAAGAATCTGAAAGTTAAATTATTACCAAGCTTAATATAATTACTTGATAACCAAGTAACTATCCCTTAAGGGTTTCAAACCATCCCTTATAAATAGAGGGTCATAAAAACGGATTCAAGAGCTAATACAAGTGTAAAAACACTAGGAAATTTGGTAGCCTCCAACCTAAATTCCCGATCATCCCCGATTATGCTACAGATGTAAGTTTTATATATCCTTCTATGGTTAATTTATTTTGCTTTGTATTGGTTGAACATGGATCTGCTTTTCGGTTTATGTGATTTGGTTATATGCTTCAGATGTGCGCCTTTGTAACCTTTTGTTTGATGATAACCCAACATCAGTAACTATAAACTCACCCTCACACGATTTTTTTTGGTTTTATAAGAATGTTACAAAACAGTACTCACATATTGGTTAAACAATAAAGTAACATATTTACATATACTCTGTTATGATCCCACATCGGCCGAAAGTACTATAAGTTGGTGGCTTATAAGTCTAGGTGTCCCCTCCACCTACAAGCTGGCTTTTGGGAGTGAGTTCTACACTTGGGCTTATGGCATGATGCGGGCCTAGTATGGGATGGGTTCGTATCAATTGGTATCAGAGTCGTCCCCATCTTTTGGGGTGCCAACACTTAGAGTGGTGGCCTACGGAGTGGTGGCTTGGACCTGAAAAGAGGGGTGCCAACCGTGACCAACAATGACTCGGAGTGGTGGCTTGGACCAAAAGGGGTGCCAACCGTGACCAACGAGGACGTTGGCTCTTCAAAGACTTGGGCTTATGGCATGATGCGGGCCTAGTATGGGATGGGCCCGTATCATACTCACACACCTACGGTTAGGGTTTGGGTTTGCAATCCCTGCCCCACCAAAACTCTCGGTACCACACACACACACACATACATCCTATTTCGAAGGTCTGATGTGTGGCTCGGCCCCAAGAATGCAACAGGATGATGAAGTTTGCATAAACTTGCGAGATTGAGAGCAGTTTTGCAAAACCATAGGACCACCTTGTGATTTCTTCTTTTCTCCTTGATTTTTGGCCGAAAAATGGAAGAGGGTAGGGAATGAGGAAGGGGCACCAAATTATGAGAAAAAGAGAAAAAGAGGGGAAGAGATCGGCCTTAGCTAAATAGGGAGGGAGATTAGGGTATTTGTCTCTTCTAGTCTTTCTATCACTAGAATTAACATTTTAAATCCTACAAATTGATAATCCTATAATTCAAAGTATACTACACCAGGATAAATAATTAAATAAAGTATTAATATTTAGAAAAATAAATACAAGGTATTACATAAGGTTGTTAAGATCGGGATCCTACCTAGGATCGTTTTTGGGTTTGCAAGATCGGGATCGAGATCCTAAAATCCCACAAAATAAAATATAATTTTAATTTATAATATTTAATCATGAAAAATATTTCAAACATTTAATTTTTCGTTCAAAAGTTATAAAAACTTCAAAATATTAGTCATAAGTCACAATAAAAAATGATAAATGGTAGATTGGTAAGGGTAAAAGACATAAAATGGTAAAAAAATTTCATTTCCAAAAAAAAAATCAAGGAAAGGTAGGATCGGATCGGATCTTGATCCTACGATCCTACCTACGATCTTACGATCATACCTGCGATCCTACCCCAAATATGATCCTTTTACGATCCGAATCGTTTTTCATAGATAGGACCGTAGGATCGTACGATCCTACGATAGGATCGCGATTTTGACAACCATGGTATTACATGATGCGGGCTTAATGTGGAGGAAAAGAATCAAGGTATGTTGATGCAACAATTGAAACTGAAATTCATAAGTAAATTGATGATATCATAAAAAGATAAGTTCAAACAAGAATTCTTGAAAGAAATCGGAAAATTTGGTCACAAAGACAAGCATGAGAAGAAAAGGCCGGTGGAAGAGAGACGAGCAGACTGCAAAGATGAGGGATGCGAAAAGTAATATTTTATATAGTTTTATGTTGGTTAGGTTGTTTATGTTAGATTAAAAACAATGAATTTTGATTTGTTTTTTCTAGTTTATGTAGCATGGTTCGAATGACATAATTCACAATTGCTTTCATGGTTTGATAATTTTATATGAAATGGTAAAAAGTATGAACGATCGTTTGGGAGGGGGCTTACAATCCTTTGGACATGGAACTAAATTTGTTACAAAAAGGCTAAACGTGGATGGAAAACAAAATAAAACAACTTAATCTATATCTTTATTAAGACAAAAAAATTGGAAGACATAAAGCCACGATGGAAAAGAAATAAATGCACGTAAACAATAATCAATCGTAATACATAGATAACAATAGAATCTTGCTACAATTTGAATGCAACAAAAACCACAAAGAAATTTAAACCTATTCCCCCCTCAGAAGATCGCTATCAAATATCAATTATAACAATACAAATTAAACATAACCCCATAAATCATCCATTGATTTGATTTGATTTGATTTTCACCAAACAATAAAAACTAAGATTTATATCAAATTTTCCATTAAATTTAACTCGAACAACACCCGCCTTTCTTGACCGCCGACACATCATCCTTGCCGCCCACATTAATCGTCTGTCCTTTCGGCAACGCGGCGGCATCATCTCCGGCTTCTAGAGCTTTCCGGCTAACAATATGATAAATTTGAGTAAGAACTTCCGTGAATGCATCTTCTACATTTAGTGATTCGAGTGCGGAGGTTTCCATGAAATACGTGTGTTCTTTTTCCGCGAATGACGTGGCGTCCTCTGATTGGACGGCTCGTAAATGGCGCAAATCGGCTTTGTTGCCCACGAGCATTATGACGATGTTGGCGTCTGTGTGATCTCGGAGCTCTTTTAACCATCGGGAGACGTTTTCGAAGGTGACGTGGCGGGTCACGTCGTACACAAGTAGGGCGCCGACCGCGCCTCGGTAGTATGCGCTTGTGATTGCGCGATACCTTTTAGAAGAAAATAATATTTTAATACTGTGTATGGATACAGTGTTGTCTAGATAAATGGAGCATTAGAATACTTAATGGAAAAGCCTTATTTCCCTAATTTTCTCTATTGTTATTAGAGGAAATCTCCAATAAAGTCCCAATATTTTGGGTCAGTTTACGGTTTAATCCTAACTTTTATTTTTTAAACAGAAAAATCCCAAATATTTTATATTTTGCCCAAATTAACAAAACGGTTTTCAATGGAAAATGACAGATTATCGTATAAAATTAAATAATCGAGATTTTTCTCTTCAATAAAAATGTTGGGATTAAACCGTAAATAGACCTAAAATATTCGGACTTTATCGGAGAGCTTTTTCATGAAAAAATTTCAAATGAAAAGGCTAATTATATATCCACAATAGGAGTTATAATTGGTTGAAAACATATGGGCCCACATAATCATTGAAAAAGCTCATGGGAAAAGATTGCTAATTAACAAGCAACTTGAAAAAGCTACTCTTATAGCTCTTTTCAAATTACAAGAGCTTTTTATCTTGAAAAAGCTCCTATTGTGGATGTTGTAGTGTTCATCTGCAATAAGTCAAAAAGAAACAGCTATATATATGCCTTATTTCAGCTCATATATTGTAAAGATTGAAAAGTTTAAAATGGATTTTAGCTAATAAATGCAAATGAAATTGAATAAATAAAACTACAAACATAGACATAGGAAGTCATGCACTGAAACAAGCTACTTTGTGGTGATAGATTATTTAATTCATTCAGATAACGTTTTTTTCCCTTAAAAATGGCTATTTTCTTGTCTTCTAAAACAAAATTTTGGTCCAAAAGGTCAAAACAATTTAAACTGCATTATATTTACTATTGCTATAAAATCAAGGGTTCAATGTGCATTTATGCAACAAATTGTAGAAAATATACGGCATTTCATGGTTGCATAATTCATGTCAGTTGCATTAATTGGTAAAAAAAAAAAGTTATTATAGTGTAAATCAGTAAGAAAAATGAAACAGTGTTGCATAAATATGTAAAAAGGTAAAACATTGTTGAATAAATAAGCATTTATGGGATAAAACATGATTGCATATTTTGGTCCCAGATACAATGTTCCATATTTTGGATAAAAGAAACTTCTGAATGAATTGAGAAAAAGGTGAAGTTTTTGTTGCATAAATGTGCAAAACTGCAAATAACCCTAGAATCAATAACAAAGTCTTCTCAACATAAACCCATCTTTTGTTCACATCAAGAGAGAACAAAAGAAAGGTTTTTTATATTAATCCACCAAAATTTCTTTTTAACTAATAGAACGAAAGTTTTTAGTAAAACAAACCTACAACCTCAAATTTGTCTTTCTAGGTGTGTTAAAAACAAACAAGTCTCATTAGAAATATTAAGGGAGTAATTAAATAAAACTAAAGTCCTCATATCATAGCAGCATGTAAGAATATCAAACTATGGTTATAGACTAAACTTCCGTTTCTTTTATTTACTTATATTGATAAGGAACTAACTCATGAAGGATTGAACGGATATGAACAAGAACAATCAATGGCATAGAAAAATGTTCTTTTGATTAGATTATCTTCATCTTTTCTTCTGGAAAGTTATTAAACCCTACAAACTTTCATTGGGATAAAGTCCTTTTGACAGATATGAAACTGTGATCACGATATATCTATAAAAAGCTTTTGTTGGTTAAAGGATTGAGTTCATAATTTGATCAAAAGGTAGTGCCATAAGCATCATCATTTAATGTGATCAAAGCCTTAGAATTAGATCCTATTTATATCACATCAAGACATTTCAACTAAACCAATAAATCAATGACTAACTTTAACATAGCAATTACGACATCCATGGCAATGCATCCATCCTAACTCTTCTACTCCAATTGTAAACCCGAATACAGAAAGGGTTCACTTAAAGTTGGAGATAGATGATCTGACTGATCGATGTAGAACAACTTATTATGTCCATGACAATCACGCGCTTAACATTAAGAATTTAAGACAAGAATTTTGAAGTTTTGAAGACATCAAGCTTCAATGCAAACTCCAGATCTAAAGTAGAACGATCTTCATATAAAGAAGCAGCATACATAACAGTTGGATCTAAACCATCTCATTTCAAAACCGATATCCTACATAAATGCTTCATTTCTACAATTACATATGAAATCGATAAAAATGGGCGTTAGAGAGATCTGATACGTACCTTTCCTGGCCAGCGGTGTCCCAAATCTGAGCCTTAACAACTTTATCATCAACACGAATGCTACGGGTGGCGAATTCAACGCCGATGGTGGATTTGGACTCAAGACTGAACTCGTTTCGAGTGAATCTCGACAACAGATTTGATTTTCCAACTCCAGAATCTCCGATCAGGACTACTTTGAACAAGTAATCGTAATCATCATCTGCTCTGTAGGCACCCATTTCTGTTTACACAATGATCTTCACAACAAAATGAAAATGCGTAAGAAATGCTTGCGGGTTTGATCCGAAGCAGATCTGTATGATGGAAATGGGGAAAACAGCAATAGAAATCTGCAAGAGGGTTTATGAGATAGTAGAGGTAGAGAGAGGGAGGGAGAAGTGCGAACGAGGTGAAGGACAGAAGGGCGAGATGCTTTCAAAGAGATTTGGCTGCTGATTTTTGCTTAGATTTTTCATTTTTCACGCAAATCTCGTTCCTTTCGGTATTATTATAATAGTAAACAATAAAATAAATTAAATTAAAATAATAATAGAACCATTAACCACTTTTTAATATTTTTAAACAAAAAATCAAATATATTCTAAAAATAGCATCTATTTCATAGGACTGTTACCAAATTACCAAAATCATATAGTTTTGGTGATTTTGAAAGATGGATTTGCCAATTTCCTAAGCGAGGGGATCCTCAATTTAGAGTATAAAACTTTAACTTTCGTCTTTTTATTTTACTTTTTACACACAAATTTTTGGAATAGTTTTTACGGTTTTAAAATTGTTCCCAAAACAATTATTATGAAATTTTTTTTTTTGCATTTATGATATTTTTCGACAAATATATATATATATATATATATATATATATATATATATATATATATATATATAGTCCATTAGAGAGCCATTAATTCTCATAATGAATATTTATGAACTTTTTGAAACTTCGAATGAGGACCATTATGAAATTCTTTTAAAAAAAAATATTAAATTTGTATTAACTATCATGACGTAGGTTAAAAAAAAAAGGCTAAAGTGTGACGAATTATGAAAACAAACATACGAGTCAAGACATGATGAAATATAAGAACACAACAAGTAAATAACACGTTTTAGTTCAATATTGATAATGAAGGAGGTTAGAGAATACAAGCTAATTAACGGGAGTGAAATGCGTATGTGTGCGAGAGCGAGTTAATGAACCTCTAACCTACAATATTATTTATAGGCAACATGCATCGTGCTCTCAACTAATCCCAAAATGTACACGTATACTTCAACCCTTAAGTACAGACAGAAAAGTGTTATATGAAATAAAGATATATATTGAAATATTGACTATTTCAATATAAACAACAAAACAAGTTGTAGTGGTGTTAATCATGATGACATGTGCGGAATATGAAATGATTTAGTGAATCATACAAGAATCATGAACACGAAGAACACAAGAGTAAAAAAAATATGGGTTTAGCTCTCATTAGTTTTTAGAAAGAGTACAAATGGGTTTGCAATAATTCTCTCTCTAAACTAATCTCTCATAAAATGTTCTTACATAAGATGAGTGTCACTCACTTCCTTATAAAGGAAACACAACTCATTACACACATACAAAGGAGTGAGCACGCATGACATCCAAGAGTGACTTTGCACCCTAACATTTTCCCCTTTAAAGTTAGGATTGGATATCCCGGCTTCAATATCCAACGAGCTCGCGCGATCAAGACTAACTCCCCCTCGAAGTAATATCGGTCTTCAAATCCGCAAATGAATATCCAAGAAGCTTCGAATACACACTCTACATTCTCCCCCTTTTATAATCAACAAATGATTATAAAACCCGTTAAGGGTGAGAAACGTCCGATGAATAATCTTCCCAAAACATCCCCTTGATGTGTGCCAAAAATGAAACCACGAAAAACTTGCATGAAAAAACAATCACGAAAAAGTCTTGAACATTTTCCAATTTTTGTGAAAAATTTCGACTTTTGGGTGAGAGTTGCAAGAATTTCAAAAATCCGGGTAAAAACTGCCAATATCAGAATTCTACAGGGACTCGTTGCGCCAAAAACAATCTCAGATGTGAAACTTTACCCCAATTGCGAAACTGGGCATAAAGACAATTCGCATTAACTGCAGGGGCCTGATACGAAAATAATCCTATTTCTCAGAATTTTCAGCCCAATGTCGAAGTTGGGTAAATTCTGCCAACATTTTGAAACTTCAGAGACTCAATGCGAAAATTTTCATTCTTCTCAAACTGTTATCTCTATTTCTACCATAACTGCCATTTCGTTGAAATTCCAGGGGTGTAATTCGAAAATGTTTTTTTATTCCCCAAATTGTTTGTACGAATACACATCCTTCGTTTTACAGTTACTCAACCTCGACATCGAATACATATCCTTCGCTTGTCAATTCAACCATTCGAAATTAATCCTTCCTAGTCGATATCAATCGCTACTCGACATCAACAATGATCCTCCCATTTCAAAGTTAATCAAATGCTACTCGACATCAAATATCTATTCCTACGCCCATCGACCATCGACATTAGATTACGACCTTATGACCTTCGAAATCAGATTACGAGCATCAACCAAAATAACCTTCGAAGTCAGTCACTCAAACTCGACCATCGACTCCTAAGCTTTGAAATCGATCTTAAGAACATCGACATAAAAATCGACCATCGACCCCTAATCGACCATCGACATTAGATTACGACCTTATGACCTTCGAAATCAGATTACGAGCATCAACCAAAATAACCTTTGAAGCCAGTCACTCAAACTCGACCATCGACTCCTAAGCTTTGAAATCGATCTTAAGAACATCGACATAAAAATCGACCATCGACCCCTAAGCTTCGAAATCAAAATCAACCCAAACACAGTCTTCGCTTTTTCATGTAAGGGACCCTCGTCGTACAAAAGACCCATTAATCTCGTCGATATCCATTAAAGAACAATCATCCTCAAGATGTTCGATTTTGACTCCAAAAAGTCAACTCAAATCGAAACTTCAATTCATCAGTCTTTGAAATCGATTTCACATTAGGAATTTTGAATAAGAAGCCTTCGCTTTCAGTAAACAACCCTTCGATTTCAATTCTTCAATTCGGAAAAATCAAACCTTTGAAATCAATCCTTCGAACATCTCATTAAAATCAACTGGCAACCATCGACATCAAAACCTTGACCTCGGCATCGACATTGAATACCATCGGGAACTTCAAAATCAAAATTGCCATTCAATCGATGTTCCTATTTCGAAATCAACAATCCATGAAACAATTTCGAAGACTTCATCTGTTAGATATTCAATCTTCGAAATCATCTACTCCTCAGTCAAATAACCTTCGATCCTAATCATCGATATCTAGTCAAAAGCAATTAAACGTCGAAGTCTAATCCAAACCTTCGAAATCTGTTCAACATTTCCAATCGACCAAATACATTTTCATCCCAAATTGAATTCTGTGTGACAACCCGAAATTTCCATTTGTATAAACTCCGCAGTCAAGCACATCAAATAATGGTCAAATTCATC